CCTGCCACAACGCCCGGCTCTTTTACGGTTGCAGCCATCATTGTTGTTTTGGTGGGCCCAGGCTGGATTCCAACCCGCCACCTTAGATGTATGTGGCTGGCGCCTTAGCCACTTGAGCCACAGGCGCTGAGCCAGAGTAAAGGAGTTTTATAAGAACACTGTATTATAAGAGGAAATTCAGATCACATAACACAAGAAAAATAACTGACAATTTTTAACATGCATGTCCTATTTGTACGGTACACACATACAGTGGCTGAGTCAGCCTAAGAACACCCAGGAAAGAATAATCATTAAGGAAAACAAAAAACCTCAATTAGTTATCAAATTACTGACATATTTTAACAAACATATTCCTGGAATACTGACCAGAATATTTAATAATCTATAAAAATCATGATGCCATTTAAATTACTCAAGACCCAATATTAAAAAATTATGCATAGGGCAGTGGCTGTGGCTCAAAGGAGTAGGGCGCTGGCCCCATATGCCGGAGGTGGTGGATTCAAACCCAGCCCCAGCCAAAAAAAATTATGCATAATCAGAGTTTAAAATGTAGATACAGCTGATGAAATAATTTCATGAATCTTAACTAAAATCCTTATTTTATAACTAAATAAAAACAAACTTTAGGATCTGATAGATAGGAGGGGGGAGCAAACTTTAGAAAGATAGATAAAATCCTGGAAGACTTTTTGTTTTTGTGTTTTTGAGACAGAGTCTCACTCTGTTGCTGTGGGTAGAATGCCATGGCATCATCAAAACTCACAGCTATCTCCAACTTTTGGGCCCAAGAGTTCCTCTTGCCTCAGCCTTCCCAGTAGTTGGGACTATAGGCAACAACCTCCACAAAACCCGACTAGTTTTTCTATTTTTAGTAGAGATGGGGGTCTCAATCTTGCTCAGGCTAGTCTTGAACTCCTAAGCTCAAACAATACACCCACCTAGGTCTCCCAGAGCACTAGGGTTACAGGCATGAGCCACTGTGCCCAGCCTCCTAGATGACTTTTAAAGGCAAAATTCACTTTCAATAATGTATAATAATTATGTATTTCTTATAACAAAAAAATTCTAATTTGATTTCCAATAAGCTATGAAGACACAAAATAAATAGACATTTATTAAACCAAAAAAATTGCCTAATGAAACAAAATTCTTTTTTCTAATTCTTGAATACACCTGAATGTAAAATCTGAATATAATTAGGTAAGCTTCTTATTATACAAAACAATTACAAAGATTAAAATATCAATTTGTTTCAAGCACAATAATGCTAACACATGATAAAATTTCAGAAGCTATCTATAAATATGGTTAGCTAAAAGAACTAAAAGATCTCCATGGAGGTGGAGGATTTATCTTATTATGTCTCTATTACAGTCCTGGGTATGCCCGGCTACTTTTTCCAGAAGGGTCTCCTTATGCTTAACCCCCATCAAAGGCCCAGCCTACTCATTTAACTGGTTGCCAGTTCTACACGTGAAGAGAGCAAGGAAAGATTGGTAATATTTTTTTAATTAATTACATACACCTACATTTTCCCTTGTATTCTACCTTCAGCTTAAAATATTTTATTAAACAAATTATATAATCATTTAATGAAATCAAGTCTCCTCTGACAGTTCTCTTAAAAATTTCCTGAAGTTGACCTTCAATTATTTTCAATCTATAAAAGTTTATAGTTCTAAATTATCAGTATGCTAAAGATGCTTTATACAGCAGTCTACCAAAATCCTCTAATAAATGGCACTTCCCTGCTTTCACGACAACGCTTTTAGTTCATCTTCAGGATTATAACCCTGAGATGTGGAAGGACCTGGACATTATTTAAATCTATAAAAGAATTTAATGATGTGCATTTTATCCCATTCACATTTTTTGAAAATTCATGGCATGTGAGCTATTTAATTCACAATTAAGATTTCCATTCTTTAACCATGACAGATAAGAATTTACTGACCCATAAAACAAAGTTAAATATCAGTACAGAATTATTTTATAGGCTCAG